ACCGTGACAATCCTTTCATCTCAAATATCTCCTCTAGTTCGCTGTATTCCAGTGCAATAGCTAGAGACTAGGCGTAATGTACGCTACAAGCATCTCCAATCTATCGCAACACCACTATAATAAATTCCTCACAAAAACGGTCTCAATCTGGAAACCCTACGGTGCATAAGTTCAAACATAACCGCTTATCTGGACATTTAAAAGTTTTTAAATCCGAATTTCACTTTAGGAGTCAGCAATTTGCCCTTTTTATTCCCCCCATTGAGTTATTGGGTTTGGCGGAACCTTAGAAAATCAGTTCCGAGGAGATAAGATATCAATTTTTCTTCCTTTTGAAGTAGTTTCAGGAAATGAACTAGTTCATTAGCATTCTGCGACCAGGTAGCCATCAATTAGGCTCTAATGCAATAAATATCGGTAAAGAATCATCAACAAGGTAATTTTCCATAAGGTTTACCACTGCCAGGTTGGAAGTTACTATGATAATAGATTGAATTTATTAAGGAAGAAGAAGGACCACTTAAACCTTCATTTATATCGAATTTCCTTCGACTATAATTTATAATTTTCACAACATCTGTAGTTTTCACTTCATCTAAATGTACAAAGTGTAGATTCTCATCAACTGTAGTGCAAAGCTCTTTATACTTGGGTATAAGCAATTTTAAAGATTTTAGTAACAAAAGTTGTAAATTTCCAGATTCACCAGTGGTATGTAAAGTAGCGTCGTCAGATAAATTATCTTCACATTTTTTACTTATCTTGACACTAAAGATTATGCCATTCATGGATCCTTCAGATGTCTGTTTGAGAGCAGATTTTTCACTTTCATTTAAAATTCGTAACATTTTTTTCTTATGTATCTTAGCTTATTAATTATAGCATTAAAAGAATAATTCAATTGGTGTATCAATCATTAATTATAAGCTTACAGCACTGTAGCAATATTTTTTAATTAAAAAACTTCCAACCACATAAATAATTGGAATAAAAATTCGACCAACCATCCAATGTCTTCATTAAATACTCTATCAATCAATGCCTTGCCCAGTGTAATTAAATTTTCATTTAATTACATTAGAACTACTCAGGAGAGAAGACAAACATAATAATACAACTAATAACTCCATAGTTACAATTCTGGTCTTACATTGTCATTAAATCATGTTGAATTGACCTTGAACCAAGCAAGTGTCTTAGTAGTGAAGTAGAAAACGCTGCGTATAGTTAAAAATATAAAACAGATCTTAAACGATTATTCAACAGACAGTAAACGAATTTAGAACAGATATATAGATGTTGAAAAATTCTTGGCAAAATACATTTATAGATGCAGCAAATGCCGATTATGGTTGTTGGCTTAAGTTTTAATTACCCAATCCAGGCTATTAATATAAAATCGTTCTTTCTAATATGTAACGTCGTTTGAATTTTGCTTAATTGGTCTCAATATCCTTCTTTACAGGAGGGGACACTATTACAGGAAATGAACTTGAAGTTCTATTTAGTGATCTGAACGAATGAATTATCATATCAAGCAACTCATCGAAATCATATTCACCACCAATATCAGTTTTTCATCCATTTCGTTATAGCTCCTTCTTTCTTTCCTATTTATCATGCCAACTTAGTAAATTAGCAGCATGTAGCAGTCGAGCAATTCCTTGATATTTAAAAGGAGACAGCAATAAATATCTTAACTTCAATTATCAAGATGGATGATATGCCTTCTTTACCTACATACCCCTCACATTTGAAGATAATCTTGTAAAATTATTAAGGATTCTAAGGTTCTTTCACATTTTTCAGTCTCTTTGCATATATCTTGTTGGTTCAAATCACAATAGCTTGAAGCCATCCCTTCACAAATCATAAAACAAATTGAGTTGCACAATATCTGAACTAATACTTCCAAATGAAGTATCCAGTTCTATCTCATCTTTCTTAACAGTATCCAACTTCTCTTCAAGCACCTTTATCAAATTCTCTGTAGGCATCATCTCATTACTTCGGAATTAAAGCTTTAATTTATTTGATCTTTTATTTACATTTCAAGAATGAAACACCAAGATATAAACGTTTGAATAAAACTGAGTTATGCAATCTTATAGCTATCGAATCTATTATCTGGGGAACTATTCGTGGTAGGTTTAGATTGTGTTACAAGGTTGAACTTGAGCTCACTATGAATAATGAAGGAAAGTTTCAATTGGTATTTTCAGATCAGTTTGATACTGAAAATTTCCATATAATAATAGAATCATTGAGTAATGTAAGATGTATAGATTCAAATATAGCTCAGTCAACTGAGAAACTATGCAATGCATTGTCAGAATTAGAGTTGTTGCTTTCAAGTCTTCCGTCACTGGAATCTACGAAGGATGAAATGCAATTATATGACTATGTTAATTGGTTGCTAAATGATAGAATTTGTATGAACGAATTCATGAATGATTCAACTAGATTAGATGAAATATTGTCGAATATTTTAGGGTTTATAAATACCGATGAAGAAACTGAAGAATCAGAGTTACTAGATTATAGACAAACTATAAATCATTTAGAAAAATGCAATAAATCATATCATACTTTAAAACCTTGGATACAATCTACTAAGTTAATATTTGATGCAAGTTTGGAATTCTATGAGATATCAACAGAGACCATTGATACTTTAAGTTCACTAATTGAAATAAATATACAAAAATGTCTTTCCATACAGGATGACAGGTTTTCATCGCCAATACGGCATGCTCCTTCTTTTACCTTGTCGCAATTGATTACTTTATTAGAAAGCAACTCAGATTCTACAGAACCAAAGGTACCGACATTGACACCTACTGAGGAAATAATATTCGATAGATATATGGAGTTGAAGAGAAGTCTGAACCCGATAGACATGAGTTTGACAGAGATATTACCTCAAAGAATAGAAGTTTTCGAATCTAGAGATATAGAAAATATTGGAATTTTACATTCGATACTTCAACAAAAATACAAAGACGTTATGAACAAGTATAGATTTATGATGAATGAAGTACGATCTCTTAAGGAAGACCTTATTGACAAAAGATGGAACGTACTATTCATAAGTTTGAATCAAGAATTATCCTTTTTACTGGAAGAAGTTGAAGAATTACAGCAAAAAATATCTGAAACCAACTTCTCTAACGATACAAGAGAAAAGTTGATGCTGCAACTAGAAAACAAGTCTATTGTAGTGAACAAAACATTCAATGTAATTTACAAAGCATTGGAGTTTTCCCTTTTAAACGCTGGTGTTGCAGTCAAGACTAATAGATTAGCAAGGAAATGGCTTGAAATAAAGCCACTAAATGACGAAATATTAAACAAACCTATTCAATTAAGCGAAGAAGATGTTGAAAAGTTGACAAACAAATTAGAAAAATTGAAAATGGAAGACAAAGCAGAGCAGACTTCTAATACAAATGATATCATAACACCCCCAAAGAAGAAAGTTGGCGCTATACTATTGAAAAAAATGAATATCAAACCAGTTATTATAACAGGAACACCTCCACCATCTGCAGAAAAACCAAATCCATTTTTTGACAATACAAACTATATACCTACGGAAGGATCGAAAGATTCAGATAAAATAATATTGGGAGGAATTCCATCTTTATCATATTCTTCAATGAAAGAAAACAGTTTACAGTTTGAAGATACAAATGACGAGGAAATAGATAGAATCATTACGAAGGAGAGATTACGAGACCTCGAAATAAAGAAAATAGAATACTTTTCAACACAAGCATCAAAAATTCCAATCTATAAATCTAAAAAATATATACCAATGGTGTCATCACCAAAAACACCATCCAACAACAATATGAACTCTACATGGACACCATATTTGAAATATGGAAATAGTCTCAAAACCCCAACTCCCATATCGACTTTATTCCCTCCCAAATAACAATAATTAATAGAATTAAATAGATATCAATCCGATGTAACATTACTCAATATTTTCTTAAAATAGTTAACTAGTTCTAAGTTCTATCTTGTTCATATCCGTCATTAGATTTGAAAGACACCAATTTTCCTGAAATAATCTTATTAAAGCAATACAATTGTACCAATTAACTATCCTGATTTGGACTCAATTGATGTAAAAAAATCTTTAGCAATTGAGTAGCTTTTCATTTCGTTTCATTTCGTTTCGTTTCGTTTCGTTTCGTTTCGTTTCGTTTCGTTTCGTTTCGTTTTGGTTTGCATTGCATTGTATCGTTCCTTACAATTCTTTCTTCAACTTGATGATGGATTCTCATCTCATCGAATTTTTTGACGTTTTCGCGTTTTTATTACTGATTTTATTCAAAAAAAAAAGAATTAAATTTACGTGTCTCAGTCAAATTTAAATATATATCATATACTACACATCTCTAAACCTCTAATGATGTGATAAGACACCAAAAATTTGTATTTCAGTTTTTGAGCAAGTTGATAATTTGATATATATTAGAATAGTTAGATTTAAGAAAGTGTTATCTATTTAGTAAAGGTTTCATTTTGATACTTCAATAGCTTTGAAAACATTTTTGAGAACAAGGGGGTATCTCATAATTAAGATCTAAATCAAGTTTAATCTGAGTTTCAATATTATAATATACCACTAAAGACGTTATAATGAGCAGTTTGACTATTTCACCAATTAAGAAGAGAAATGCCTTGGGTGACAAGGATGTAAATTTGAGACATCATGGTGTGCATAAATCTTCTAGTAGGAGTAATCATTCATCTCCTTTAAAGAACTCTAATGTTGATGTCGATTTTGCGTTAAGACATAGTCCAGTTAGGAATATTTCTCCATCTCTGGAGCAAAACAATTCCAATAATATGCCTTTTAGTATATTTGAAGAATCTGAAGAACAAAGAACAGCAACTATGTTGCAACATATTTCCCTAGTTAAACAATCGTCTTTTGCCGACGAAAATGATTACTCAATTGTTAAGGAGAATATTTCACCAAATAAAATCAACAGAGACTCCAAAATACAAGCTTTACAAATGAATCGTAAACCTTTACAGGATATAAGCATCGAGGACTGTAAGGGGTATATAGAAGACCCAATAACCCACGAAGTTACTCAACTTACTTTACACACAACTCAGAAAACTGTTCTACCTGCCGATATAACGCCTCCTAGAGATAATAAGATAAAAGAACATTTTACTAATACAAGAGTCTCAAACCAAGTGGATAAATCAAAATCTCGTACTACCGATGATATATCTAAGGATAAAGTGGTCAGAAAATTAAATTTTGATATTTTCGAAAATTAATTGGTTTCTTCCTAATATCCCATTTGGCATTACATTCTGCATATATAACTAGCATTTTATAAAATAATTTCATTTCATATTTAAAATATTCATTTATTTGTTAAACAATTCTCCTCGATTCATAAAGCTCCCAGTCACCAGAGGTACTTCAAATATTTTGTCTTTGGTTCTTGGTTAAAAAATAAATATTATTATCTGAAAAATGCAACATTAACTTTTAGAAATATTTAATAATACAAATGAATATATATAAATGCTTGCAAATAAACATAGTCATTTAAATGACTTTAGGGTATCCCATAAATTTTAAGTCTTCACAAAATTTTAATAAACAATGTAATCAGCAGTCGATGGATCTATTAGTTTATCATATTCTTTAGATTGTAAGATATCTGAAATATATCTCAATTTTTTGGTTGAATTTATCGCCATATCTAGGCCTGTTCTGGCAATATCGTCTAGTATCTTCACAAAATGGGTAGTCAAATTGGAATGTTGAATGACAATAGAAACCAATGCACTATAATAGATAGCCCAATGAGTCTTTATGCCAACTGTTTTTGAATATGGCATAGAGTACCATGCTTCTAAAATCGTCTCTAAAATTTCGATGATTTCCGATAAATTAGAATGCTCTTGATTCAGGAAAAATACTTTTAAATATAGTTGCAGACTATAAACATCTAAGTCGTTACACTTAGATATAGTAAAACGCAGTTTATAATCATCTACATCTTTTAATGCTTTTTTTGTGTCACATTTTTTAGCATCTTTTACTAGATCTTCTAACATTTTTGATCCAAACTGAAACAGATAATTTCTGAAATCCCCATTCGTGTTTGTATATTTGAATTTCACCAAATTAGTACCAGATAGGTTAATACCTTGCTGTTTCCACCTTAGTAGTTCCTCTGTTATCTTTCTACAAACAGGATAAATCGCAGTAGTACATCCTACTGCTAAATCAAAGGAATCAGATAGAATATGAAACTTAGAAAATGGTTCAACGTTATAACTTGTATTTAAGCCATCTACTGTGGTTAAAATACCACCATTATCTGCTGCAATATACGCACATACTTCTGTTCTACAAAATAAAGCATTAATCATCCCGAACAAAGAGAATGCATTTTTACCATTTTCTGTTAACAAGACTTTTTCATTTAGTAGCGAACAAGCCTTTCTCGTCAATGTATACAAACCACTTAAATGAGAACGCCATTCTGAATTTAAACCAGTGGAATGGGGTGAAAACAATAATGCAACAGAAAATGCCAACGAAACGCATTCAATATAGTTGTTACATGCGTTAATTCGTTGGTTCATTATATCCAAACAAGGTCTTATACTTGGTATTCTCACTAGAGTGTCCCACATATTCGACAACTCGAATAAACCTTGTTTATGATATAAGTCTTTCATAAATGTAGCTACTGTGTATCTTATTACCCTATGAATAATCGGATAATCTTGATCTAGAGATTTTAACATTGCCATCATCTCTTCAAATTTCTTTTGTGGGAATAAACAAAATTGACCTACACATAGAGTATTATTACAAATGGACCAAATAAAATCAACAAAATTTTTATCATCAATCTCAATGTATGAAATATCTTCAATTGGATTATTATGTGCTATTCTCATAGAGTAATATTTATTAATAGGATCCATTTGAATTAAATTTGTTACTACAGACTCCCAAGAGCCATTTCTTTGAGAAATAATGCCAGGAGTATCATTCGAAGAATAAATCAATTCTATAGATGATTGTTTACTATCAAAATTCAATAGATTCATGATATGGACGTTTGTTGGCGGAAAAAAAATATGACTATCAAGTTGTTTGATCGGTATAATTCCATCAGATGCCATATGCAGCTCATCGATTCCGCTTATACCCTCAGATTTAATACTTGTGACTGTCGGTAGTAAATTGTTTCCGTCATTGTGATCACTGTAATTATTACCAATAATATGACTACTATTATCAAGTCCAATTCTATTATACTTATCATTATAATCATCATTATTATCGTTATTAATAAGGTTTTTATCTTTATCTTTATCTTTATCTTTATCTTTATTTTTATTTTTATTTTCATCATCATCATCATTATTATTATTATTATTACTGGCATTATTATCATTATTATCCTTATCATTTACACATTTTTTATCTTTATCTTTATCATCATCATCGCTATTTTTATGGTTTGATATCAATAAAGGAGACATTGATTTATTACCAGAATTAATGACATTATTTTGAACATGAGAACTTTTCAGTGGTTTGTTATTAGAATAACTTGCAATAAAATTAAAATTCTCCTTTTTTATGACATTTGTTACGTTGTTAATAATATTATTATTATTATTAATGACAATATTTTGCAACATTAATAGTACTATTAGTATTACCGTTACTGTTACTATTAGTATTACTATTGCTGAAATTACTGATTGTATTTTTATATGGCGCACTAATGAAATTCAATTTATATGTACAAGGCTTTTTTCTTTTGAACATTTTCACAAAAAGGCTTCCTTCATCACATTTGAAGGTGCTTCTAACTTGCAACATCCATTTCTGAAAAAATGAAGTATTTGTTTTTTTCTTTCAAGCACACCCTAAGGGTCTGGACCAAATTCCCAAAAACCCCAACGGACATTTAATCACTGACCCCCAACAAAAAAAAAGCCCCACCGAGCTTTAACTGATCGCCGAAAAGTTCACTTTCCAAAGAAAAAAACCCCCGGGCTTTTTGGTTCTGATTTTGGGCTAGAACAAGGGCCTTTTCGGAAACTTTGCGGCCGATATACCGGGGGATTTTGGAAGAGCCCGCAGGGCCAGGCAACTATTGGAGACCCCCAATTTAAAGAGAGTTCTGTTAAGAGGGAAGAAATTCTCCACATTCCGTGGTCCCGCGAAAAAGAAA